TCTTGTTTTTGTCCAGGAACTGGTTGAGAAAGATGAGCTCGGCGTGCATGTGCACGTCTAACTGGTTGCACAAAATCTTTTAGCTGCAGGCGAGGAAGTCGAGAAGTGTGCGTGTGCGTGTGTGTGTGTGTGTGTGTGTGACAGGAGTAACACGACTGAAGGAAGTTTTCAAACCTTCGTAAAATGTTTGGGCAAGACTTGCTCGTTTGTTCTGAAACGATCCAACCTAAAGTTTACGAGTCGACCTGCAGCGACTCTTTTATTTTCAGTCAAAACACAAAAACGTTCAGTTTTTATTTTAATTTTGCAGCTTCTAACACAACTCTTCATTAAACAATTGTTGTAAGAGTTTGTCAGTGCAACCAGGGGGCGGAGGGAGTCCGGGTCCGTGGCCTCGGGGTTCAGTTTCTCAATATGCAGATGATGTGGTCCTGTTGGTGTCATCGTGCCGTGACCTCCGGCTCTCACAAGCGTTCACAGCTGGGATGAGGATCAGAACCTCTAACTCTGAGCCCATGGTCCTCATGGTCAGCCCTCAGTTGGTTCAGATCTTACCTCACTGACAGATCCTTTTGTGTCTCCATCAAGGATTTTAGTTCTGCAGCGGCAGAGCTTAAATGGGGGGTTCCGCAGGGGTCCATCCTGGGTCCCCTCCTATTCTCTTTATACCTGCTGCCGCTTGGTGCTATTTTCCGGAAACACAACATGCCCTTCCACTTCTATGCCGATGACTGTCAAATTTACTTCCCCCTAAGACACAATGGTACATGCTCTATTCAACCTCTGCTCAACTGCCTGGCTGACATCAGGGACTGGATGGCTTTAAACTTCTTGAGTTTCAATGAAAAGAAGTCTGAAGTCATGTTGTTCCCTCCCAACGACACAATCACAAACCACTGCATCGACCTCTCCGCTCTAACCCTGTCAGAAAAACAAAGAGTCACTAATCTGGGTGTGATAATGGACCCTTCCCTGAAACTTAACAATCATGTTAACATGATTGTTAAATCATGCTTCTTCCAGCTGAGGCGGCTGTCTAAACTGAAGCCCATATTGTCCAAAAAGAACCTGGAGACAGTAATACATGCATTCATTACATCTAGGCTTGATTACTGCAATTCACTCCTGTTTGGTATCAGTCAGACCTCCATTGCACGACTACAACTGGTCCAGAATGCAGCAGCCCCATTTTTAACCAGTACAGGCAAAAGAGAGCACATTACACCAGTTTTGGCCTCACTGCACTGGTTACCAGTTCAGAGGTCAGCGGACCAGTTGCTCCTCACAGTTCCAGGAACTCGTCTTAAGCGCAGAGGTGACAGGGCCTTCTCTGTAGCAGGACCAAGACTTTGGAACGAGTTACCTCTGCTTGTCAGACAGGCCCCCTCCCTCTCGGTTTTCAAGTCCAGTTTAAAAACTCACTACTATTCAGCAGCTTTCAACACCAGATGATCTGTGTTTTGATCCTGTATGCTCCACACTGGTTTGTCGTCATTATCTGCATCATTTTTATGTCTATATTCTGATTCACCTCATTTTGTATTTTGCTTCGTGTGTTACCTGTTGTTCTGTCTGTACAGCACTTTGTTGGCCTTGTTGCTGTTTTAAGTGCTCTATAAATGAAGTGGAATGGTGGACTGTCCTCGCCATGTTGGGCGTGAAGTTCTGCCTCAAGTGGAAGAGTTCAAGTATCTTGAGGTTTTGTTCACGAGTGAGGGAAGAATGCAGCAACAGATGGATTGGTGCAGCTTCTGCAGTGTTGTGGACTTTGTGCCGGTCCGTTGTGGTGAAGAGGTAGCCGAGCTGCAAGGAGAAGCTACGCTCTTCTATGGTCCTGAACTCTGGGTAGAGACTGAAAGAAGTAGATCCTGGATCCAGGAGGTCCAAATGAGTTTTCACTGCAGGGTAGCTGGACTCTCCCTTAGAGATCAGGTCAGAGGTTCTGTTCTCCAGGAGAGACTTGGAGTAGAACCGCTGCTCCTCCACACCCAGAGGAGCCAGGTGAGGTGGTTCTGGGATCTGTTAAAGATGGATCCTCCCTCTAGAGGCATGTCCGACTGGGAGGAGACCCTGGGAAGTCCCAGGACATTCTGGAGAGACTATGTCTTTCGGCTGTCCTGGAAACTCTTTGCAGTCTTCTCAGAAGACTCCACTCTTTGCAGCTGATCAGCAGATGTTTGTTGGATTAACATCTGGAGATTATTTTATCGACTGTGTATCCGTCAAGACCGTCCAAAGCGTTCTCGTCATTGTTTGACGGTAAACGTGACTCAGCTGATTTCACTCATTCGTTACAAATTGTGCTGCAGCCTTTTGGAACTGAATGATGAATATTGAGGTTTATTATAGATGAGACACAAATTAAAACAAATAACTCACAAACATTGAAACGTCACGTATTCAAACAGCTGTTATTGTTCAAAAGTTCCTTCTGAGAACCTCGACGTCTTTGTTTGATCCAGTTGACTGTGACTTCAGCGCGGCGTTCTGTTTGTGGTGCTGTAGGAGCTTTTCATCCAGTTAATCCTGAGCTTCTCTTCAGGAGCAGCAGAGTTCACCCGTCACGCCGTTATTCAAATCAAAAGGTGCAGCTCGACTTGGAGCAATGCGCTCCAACTGTTGGTGCTGCTACGTTGAACTGCGCAGGCAAAAAGAGCAGAAACCTCCACAACAGGTCCTCAGTGACGACGGGGAGGTTTTGGAACCTGCTTGGAGCCGCTCAGCTCAAACTTCACAGAAACATTCAGTTCTACAGAAAGTTGGATTTGACAGGACTGAACTGGTGTTTGGAGATCTTTAATGGGTTTTTACTCAACCACAGAGGTTGTTTGAAGGGAGATTTTACCA